GAGAGACGAAACGTTTCTACATTTTTTTGTTGATTTGCTTTGTTTTTGTTTTTTTGAATGTCCAGAGGACCAGATTTAACTTTTTTAGATTTTTCTACCTGGATTATTGAGCATGCATCAGGATATTTCAAACATGCTGTACCGAAACTGTTCAATACACCCACATGTAACATTACACAACTAATGAAAACTTTTGAAACAACTCTGCTTCATAATTATCACAAAGTGCAACAAAACTGTATTTTGTAAAAGGCCATAGTCACACATTTGCTGTTGACGTTATAATAATAATAATAATTTTGTAGGCTTTTTTCTGACATTCAATTACACTAAACAGAGGGTGCAAACAACACATACATAATAAAACATGCATAAAAAAAACTAAACGCCCATATAAAACCATCAGATTATCAAAGAATATAGGAGCATACAAATGAGACAGTATAAAATATAATTAACTGGGATAAGCTGCCCTGAAAAGATGTACACATATGTGACTAAAGGGCTGAGTTGCCCTACTGGCTTGCATGAGAAGTATTTACATGAGCTTATGTTTGGGGTTTCTTCAGAAGCTCACACCTGATCTGTTTTACTGTTTGTCCTCTGCAGCACTGTACCAACAGTCCTGTGAAGAATATAAGCTGCAGGGAAAGAGTTCAGGAACCTACTGGATTGACCCAGATGGCAGTGGTGCAATCACCCCATTCAGAGTCAGCTGTGATATGGCGGGTGAGATGTTACTGCTTATACAATCTACAATTGTTTCCTTTTTATTTTACCCCGTGGCTGTTGGCAAGGCAGCAAAATGTAGATATATACATTAGGGGTGCGAATCTCTCAGTGTCTGGTGATCCGATTCGATTCTGATTTTTGGTGACACGGTACGATTTAAAATCGATTTTTCGATTCAGAAACGATTTTTGATTCAGAAACGATTTTTCTATTGAAATGGTCATACATTTTGTTTCAATTATGTAACTGACAAGCTGAAAAGATTAAACAACAATGTAAACAAATAGAACATTTATTTAAAAATCATTTTAGGTTGCTTACTGTATCAAAAATTTTTAAATTAATTTTATATTTATACCAAAAATAGGAAAATATATAGGAGTGCATACAATTCTGTAACTTAAATTACCAGTATTAGGTTAGCTTAGTTGCCTGAATTTTTCTAAAAAAAATAAAATAAATAAAAATCTAGGAACAAATTATTCATCCATCCATCATCTTTATCCACTTCTTCCTTTTCGAGTCACGGGTGTCACTGGTGCCCATATCCAGCAATCACTGTGTGAGAGGTGGGGGACACCTGGACAGGTCTCCTTTCCATCACCGACAAATAATTCAAAATATATAAATATAAAAGTAAACCGACTTCAGCCTACCATAGTACATTAACCTTTAGCTCAACATAAAATGCAGACTTCACAGTTTTTTTTAACCATATTGCTCTAACATTTGTTATATTTTTAAAACTTAACCTAATATGAAATATACAGACTTCAGTCTTAACCATATTCATTCATATTTAGTAAATCTTTAACTAAATTTCAAAACCTGTGCAAGTTTGCACAAAACATCTTCTGAACTGTAATTTATAAACCATAAACTGTATCATTTAGATCTGGCTCCAGGTGATGTGTCTCATCTGTCCTCTTCAACCTGTTAAAAATACAACTTACATTAAGTTTGTTGTACAACTTGTCTATAAGTTTTGTTATAATACGAGAAATAACAGTTACCTTTGAGCTGCAGCTGCATCAGAGCTTCTCCCATTCGTTGTTTCATAGTGAAGTTGTGGTGCTGCTTTATCGCAAAAAAAAAAATTTACATGAAGGAATAACGTACATTGGATCCACCGTTTCAAAAATAAACATGAACCCCTCACCTTCCACTGAGCTGTCTGCTCGTAAATCCTTTGTGATATAGCAGGAGATGGAGAGGGAAATATTCTCAGCCTTTGGAGAAGCCTGGAAGTTTGTTGCAGAGTTCGCTGGTCGGCTGTTTGGCTTTCATCTTCCGTGAATTTTGTCTTATATCCAAAATACTGTCCCACAATTTTATTTTACACTTCTTGTAAACAACTGTGCTCTTGTAAAGCTCTATCTTTCCCTGGAACATTGTAGGATCTGAAATGATTTTTAAAGACGAAGCAGCAGGTTGAATCGCGCTGTCCCCCTCCTCCATGCTAGCATGCTTTATTCAGATAAAGGGATCTGGCTAACTAGCTTGCTGTACGGTGGCCTATATTGCTCAATTCTACAGCGGCTGAACGGGGAGTAGGAGTGGAAAAAATATAAAACTTAAATGCATTTTAAAATCGATTTTTGGACCTTTAGAAATTATTCAGAAACGCCAGGACTAAGAGTCTAGATTAATCGAAAAAACTATTTTTTTCTGCACCCCTAATATGCATGTAAAAGCCCTGAAAAGGGGAACATTTAATTACATGAGGCACAAACGCAGACTTTTCTCAATGAGTATTGACTGAGGAAGAAGAGCAGTTCCCATTATTTTGACTCAGCAACAGTAGATTCTAGATACTACCCTGCTGCGGTACATTAATTTGCGGTGGGGGTGGGGGGGAATGTCAGTTCTAAAACCACCCACCCTCCCCCTATCTCTGCCCCCATTTGTGACATATTTTAATAGCAACAATAGCAACACCTACAGTAGGTGATGGGTAGACCTACTTCTGCTATAGGTAGCACACAGTAAAAATGAATAGCCCACTGTGATTCTTGAGGCTGTGTTGTCTGGGGCATTAACCTCTGGTAGGGTCACCCATGGTAAACTGGCTTCAGGGTAGGGGTCAGACTAAAATCAATTCAAAGACCTTGATGGAAAACCATCACATTTGTCAGAAAACCTTGCCCATAAAAGGAACCAGTATGTCACCTGTGAGCAGCTGATAGTTGTGGCTTGCTGATAGTTGTGCCTTGGATTCTAAGGCTCAGTCAGACCAAGCCCAAAGGAGAGACAGAAGGCCACCTTTGATTGCCCCAAAGAGCACTGTTGAGGTCGGTAACATGCAAGCTAGGTAGCAGGTGCAGGAGGATCCAAGGAGTGTCTCAAATCCAGGCAGCAAAAGCTATCCCTAGGTCCATGGAATATCACCTCACAGGCAGGTAAGGAGCCGGAGCTTGTGTATGAGGTTGAGTGACACAAACTAGATATACCTGGGCTCACCTCTACACACAGCTTGAACTCTGGAACCCATGTCTTGAAGAGATGCTAGATCTTTATCTTTATTTTTCTAATTTGGAGTTACCCAGGGAGAGAGGCATCAGGCAGGTGTGGGGATACTCACAAGCCCCTGGCTGAGCACCTTGGTACTGAATTTTCCCCTGGTTAATGAGAGGGTAGCCTTTCTGCAACTTTGAACTGCAGAAGGGAAATTTCTGACTTGTTAGTGCTAATGCATCAAACAACAGTTCAAAATATCCAGCTTTGTTATAGTGTCTTGTAGGGGTGCAAATCTCTGTGTCTGGCGATTCGACTCAATTCCGATTTTTGGTGTCACGATTCGAAGCAAAAGCGATTTTTCGATTCATAAACGATTTTCGATTCATAAACAATTTTTCTATTGAAATTGTCATAAATTTTGTTTCAATTATGTAATAAACAAGATAAAAAGAATAAACAACAATGTAAAGAAATAAATCATTTATTTAAAACAATAATTTTAGGTTCTTTATTGTATCAAATCTTTTTGCATCATTTTATATTTATACCAAAAATAGGAACAAATATAAGAATGCATAACATTCTGTAACTTAAATTACCAGTATTAGGTTAGCTTAGCTGCCTGGATTTTTCTAAAAAAAAAAAAAATAAATCTAGGAACAAATAATTCATGCATCCATCATCTTTACCCACTTCTTCCTTTACAAGTCACGGGGGTCACTGGTGCCCATGTCCAACCATCACTGTGCGAGAGGCTGGGGACACACTGGACAGGTCTCCAGTCCATTACAGACAAATAATTCTAAATATATATAAATACAAAAGTAAACAAAGACTTCAGCCTACCATAGTGCATTAACCTTTAACTCAAAATAAAATGCAGACTTCACAGTTTTTTAACCATATTGCACTAGCATTTGCTATATTTTCAAAACGTAACCTAATATGAAATATACAGACTGCACATGTGAAGGAATAACGTACGTTTGGTCCAGTGTATTAAAAATAAACCTAAACCCCTCGCCTTCATCTGAGCTGTCTGCTTGTAAATCCTTTGTGATATAGCAGTAGATGGACTGGGACATCTTCACAACCTTTGGGGAAGCCTGGAAGTTTGTTGCAGAGTTCGCTGGTCGGCTGCTTTTGCTTTCATCTTCCACGCATTTTGTCGTATTTCCAAAATACTGTACCGCAATTTTATTTTACACTTTTTACAAACAATCATGCTTTTGTTAAGCTCTGTCTTCCCCCGGAACATTGTAGGATCTGAAATGATTTTTAAAGATGAAGGAGCAAGTTGAATCGCGCTGTCCCCCTCCTCCATGCTAGCAGGCTCCTTTCAGATGAAGGGAGCTGGCTAACTAACTAGCTTGCTGTACGGTGGCCTGCACGGCCAAAAGTCTTTGGAGGCCGAGCGGCCACGTAATGTGATATGCAGTACACTCGGGAGTAGGAGCGAAAAAAAATAAAAAATAAACACACTTTAAAATTGATGTATGAGCTTTTAGGATCAATTCAGAATTGCCATAGCTAATAATCTAGTTTCTTTAAAAAAATCTATTTTTTTCTGCACCCCTAGTGTCTTGTTTGTGTCCTTAAAATTGTACCATATGGGTATTGTGTTGTTCTCCTGAGTGACTTCAGCGTCCACGTGGGAAACGGCAGTCATTTGAAAGGGCAATAATTGACGTAATGGCCTCCCTACCTGAGTGGTATTATGGTAATGATCTTTGTGTTAGACATAGACCTTCCATAACAAGCACTATGTTCAAGCAAAGGGTGGTCCATAAGTGTACTTGGTAACAGGTCACTTTAGGCCACAGATTAATGTTTAACTTTGTAAACATATCATCAAAATCCCTATGTCTGGAATACTTGTGTGAAAAGAGAGACAGAGATGTCATTTGATCACTACCTGGTGGTGACTTGGATATGGTGGTGTAGTGAACTAGACCTCCGACCTCAACCTGTCTCTGAAGACCTTCAGGGGACAGGAACTGTTATTTCATTGATTTGAATCCAGAAATACAAATTATCTCATCAAGAGACTATTTAATTGTGTCCTGAATTAATCAATTGAAAGAACACTCTTTTTTACATTATCATTACTATTTTAAGATATCTTGATAATCAAAAAGTGTGTTTAGTTCATACCATTTCTAAATGTTGAAGAGAACCACTCATTTCAATCAACTGTGAAACAGTATTAATGATTTTTAAACCTCATTAGACCTTGATCATACAGTTAAATGCCTATTTACGAAATAAGTGTGCATTTAGTCTACATTCCTGCTGTCTCTTGACTTCTAGTGACCCTCTGACATCACTAGAACCACACCCCCTGTTGGTTGTTTCAACCAATCAGGAAGTACCATGTAACAGGAAGTGTATACTCCTTTAAAAGGAACACTTCGTGGAACTATTCAGGAAAGTTACTGGCTGGTGTTGTGTTTCAACAATGATTTTTTTGTCCACCGATGTAACTGGAGAAGTGTTTAACTGCCCACACAGTGGTCAGTAGAGCTTTCTCACAGTCTGAG